ACTTGATTAACAAGAGATTTATATGTATGTGATGGTATTCAATACAAGTATATTAATATTAGTCATTAATGATTCATAGTCGGTAATTAATTATGGACTCTTATACTAACTAAGACATGAACTGAATCCGCGATAGGTTGAGATATATTGTGAGAACTGTCATACACAATTGCTTCATATCACTATCATAGCATTTGACTCTTAAATATGAAAAAATTATATACTTTGTTATTAATTAATAATTATTTTGATTTGTTCGGCAGAGCTTTTAGGATCCTATGACCGGCTTTTTGTGTAATTAGTTAATTAATAATTAGAGAGTTATATTCTCAATATTTATATCGGTGCGACTTGTATTTATTTTATATTGATTATAATTGATCACAAAGTAAATTCGGAGATTTTCGTGTGTTTTGGACAAAATAGTTTTTCTATGTATTTATTTACTACATTATTATTTTTGACAAACAAATGTTTATAATCATCGAACTGGAAATAATCAAGGAATCAAAATAGATATATTAATTAAGTGGTCGGATTGATGACTTTAATTGTCCGATAGCTAATTATTCATGGAAGGGTCAAATTGCAACATCTAAGCATGTGTATTGTCATTGTATTACCTTGTTATCCTTGCTGATTATCATCTAAGCATGTGTATATGGTTGATATAAGGTTGTGGAAACCAAGTTCAAGTCTGTAGTGAAGCTGAATTCCAATTTTGCCCTTCAAACCACAGATTTTGCAGAAGCTTGTAAAAAACTTCGCGTGTTTTATACTTTCAGCTACTTATTCATTATGATCTTGTGTAATATTTTAAGTATATTTGTTATACATCTTTCATTATGTAATTGATGAGTTGTGAAAGCTTATTTGGTTAAAGCAGGGGTAGTTAGGACAGGGGGAGTGATGTGAGCACATGTATGTGAGTTAAGGTGTGTGTAAAGTGTGAGACATCTTAATGTATTTTAACTTGCATTATAACTAGTGGATTTGCACTGGGTGAGCCCAGAAACCAAGATTTTTGATCCCTATTAAGAGGGGTTTTCCTTGTAAAAACTTGGTATCCGTGTGAATTGGCTAGAATCAGTTTGTGACAGATTAGGGTTTCATACCTTAAGTGATATCTATGATTACCTTATCAAGCTGTGGTAACATACATTGTTGTAAAAAGTGTTTACCAAGTTCAAGAACCAATTCACCTTCTCCCCCTCTTAGTTCATCAAATTACTTAAGTTATTTTAAAATTTTCTACTTAATACTTTTATTTAAACAATTAATTTCAAGAATTAAAGGTAAATTTATGTAAATTTAATAGAGAATATGACATCAAATATTTAGTATGAATTTTTCATATTTTAGTTTAATAAAAAAAAAGATTAAATGTAATTCAATAAAAAAAGGCATTATGGTTATTTAATAAAAAATTAGCTCAAGCATGGAGGCATTTTGCAAGAAAATGTGATAGTTCGGGAGTATTTTAAATTTTTTTGCACTTTGCCCTTTAAATTATTAAAATTTGGATAAAAAAAAAAATTAATGTACGAATCACATCATTATGTAGTACACATTGAATTGGTATAATTATTAAAATTAAATAAATCAAAATATCTAAAACAACATCATACGGGCATAAGCCAGTGGTCGATGGGATCGGAAGAGAGAATATAAGGACATGTTTGATTCAATTTTTTAGAACAAATTTTTTGTGTTTTGGGAACTAAAAATAAAAAAACTATACAATTTTTTTTTTTTTTTTTTTTTCTGAAAAACAAAATTTTGAAATTTAATTAAAAAAGGAATTGTTTTCAAAGAACTGATTATGAATTTTCTGAACACCCTTTAACTTTCCAAGTGGCTTATGTGGATGGATATTAATTAACCAGAAACTATATATCCTAACAAGTTAATGAAGTTTCTTTCAAAATTTGTATTAACACTTCAAGCTCTCTAGAAGTTTTGACCAATTGGGATTCTACTACCTTAAACATGATTTGTAGTTGAGGTCGCAGTGTATCAGAGATTCAGACGAATATCAATGTAAATCGATCAATTTATAAAAATGTATAATAATATCAAACTTTTAAAAAGGTTACAAATTAATGGATACGTCATGCATGCTCTCAAAAAGAAATCCTTAAATCTACAAAGATGTTGTGATCATCTAGAAGAAGAATTGTGGCCGTAGTCATATTTTGAATTTGGTCTCTGACAGGCTTTGAACTAACGCAAGGTTGACTTTAAATCTTCATTTCCCATTTGGTTGCTTTCTCTTAAGTTCAGGTACATTAAATCTCACGTTGACACATCAATTGTTGTTGGGAGTGGCTAGAATTCTATTGGCTTTTTCATTAAAAAAAGATAAAGAAAAAAAATAACAGAAAAATTTTTATTGGCTCAGTCTTTTGATGTGCTCCTAGTGCTTCAGGGTTATTAATGATTTTAATTATGTCACTTTGACGAACATGATTTAATTAGTAAATCTGAATAATAATAATTATTATTATTATTATTTTTGATAATCAAGACATGTTATTTAATGGAATGAGAGGTTCAGTCTCTCCAAGAAAAATATTGAGAGAGCTCTTTGCCGAACTCAAAAAAAAAAAAAAAAATAAAAAAAAAAAAATAATAATAAATAAATAAATAAATAAATAAATATTGTTGCAATTATTCTGCTCTCATGAAATATTTTTGGCAATCGGATATGCTTTATGCTTGATGTTGATTGCTATAATAAATTGAAACTTTTTTTTATTTTTTATTTTTAATTTCCTAAAAAATATAAAAATTCATAGTGGTGAAGATGGAATAGTAAATATTCTTCTACGGTTTTAGAAGAAATTAAGACCATGTTTCATTTTTCTGAAAATATTTATTATACAAAAATTTGCCTAGTTTCTCATAACTGTTATTTAAGTGACCAATCAAACAAGTCCTAAATTAAGGAAAAAAAAAAAAAATAGAATACTTTTCTTAGCATTAGCATGCTTTAGAATACCTTTTAGATTTTTGGGTTAATTACAATAATACCCCTTGAAGTTTACTTTATTAACAACCATATACAAATTAGCCTACTTTTTAACAATGACACCCCCTAAGCATTGCTGTCTTTGACAAAGACACTCATTGAGCCATTGAGGGACTGACATGTGATAAAATGACCTAAGTGCCCATTGACTTATGAAATGACACATTTGAATAGCAAAATTATTAAATTACCCATTCTAATAAATTTAAAATGTCCAAATTAACCTCTCTCACATCTCTCTACATATAAATATGAGTAATATATACATAACCCGACATATATATATACACACTATAGAACTCACTTTGCGCGATCTGTATGGAGATATATTTTATATATATATAGAAGTTACGCGATTTAGGTCTCTGCCAATATAGAGAGATATTATATATATATATATATATATATATATATATATATATAATATCTCCATATTGGTAGAAGTTACATCTATATATATATATATATATATATATATATATATAGAAGTTACAGACCATATATATATACATATATATCCACTCAAATATACTAATATGTGGCCAGAACAAAGTGCTTTGAGCCTTTTGCTTCTAGGAGTAGATTCAAGCGAGATTTTAGATCGCGCAAAGGAATCAAATGAATCTGATTAAATTGATTCTGGTGATACCACCACCACTTCCATCGTAACCTCCAACCACGGTCTTATGATGCAAATGGATCTGGATTGATCTGTGGGTTGCTCTTTTGTTTGTTTTTGCACATTTTTGCACAGATCAAACATGGTGGTGGTGATAAGAGATGTGATATTGTGCAATCACCGATGCGTGGAGAGAAACGGTGGCGGTGGCTGTGGTTGAAAAGAAGTGGCGGTGGGATGTGGTTGAGGGTAAGTGGTGGTGGCTGTGGTTGAGGAGATGATGGCAACGGGTGAAGAGAGAAGGGTGGGATCGATGGGTTAGAAGGGCAAAAGAGTCATTTTAAAATTTTAATATTTTACAACTACAATTAGTTAAATATTGATGGGCAATTTTGTCTTTTTTAAACCTTTTAAGGGTCTGTTTGGCTCCAAATTTTGTTAGGGGTGTCATTATTCAAAAAATGTCTCACTTGTATATAAGTATCATTATGACAAACCTCAAGGAGTGTCGTTATAATTTACCCTAAATTTTTTTTCTATCGTATTTGAAATTTCATTCAATACGTCTTTCTAAATAATAGATGTTATGAATGTGATATGTGCTCTCGCACGGTTGATTTTAAATTTCTCGATTATGAAATTAAGGATCTATTTAATTTTGATTTAATTTTTTGAGATTAATTTTGTAATAACTAAAATAAAATATATAAAAAGAAAAATTATACACAAACTCTTGAAATCACTTACATAACACAATATAAATTACGTAAATAATATAAAATTATTACATAAACAATGTAATGATGTGTCAACTTACATAACACAATATAAGTTGTGTAAATGGTATTAAATAATTAGGTAAGCAATATAAAGATGTTGCGTTGACACGGGATTAGGATGTTATCACACGTCATCATAACATTGCTCAAAAACAATAATGGAAGCGCATAAAGTATGACTTAAAAGTTAAAACATATCCAGTTCCAATTAGTCCAACTTTATGATAACATCATTTTCTCTTACTGTACAACAGATATACATAAACTGATGATAATGTGTGTGTCTATATATATATATATATATATATCTATATATACACAGAGATATACATGAGTTGATACGTGCGTGTCTATATATCTATATCTATATCTATATATATTATGTATATACACTTCCGACATCAAATTAGGACCACCCCCACTCCCTCTCGTTGCAGAAACTATACAGACAGTTCACGGGTAATTCTAAGTTCTTTTTTTCTTTTGTTTTGAAATGTCAAAAAAGGCCATCCACAAATTTCAAATGCATTGAGAAATATTATATATATAATAACACTTGAAAACAAAAACATAAATACAAATCTGTGAGACCCCAACACAAGTTGTGGTGGAGATCAACCTCTCCACACTCCCACTTACACTGCAAAAAAAAAATTAAATATAGCATCAAAACAAAAACCATTTAACACATTAACGTCAATCATCAACTACTATTAGTCCTTCAATTCCCTCCAATCTTCCTCAGATTCAACGGAGAAACGTCGCCGGAAAAGTTTGAAAAGAAAGAAGAAGGAAAAATCATTAATTTCTCTATCTTCATACCCTACAGTTATTCTGATTGCATGCAATACTATTACGTTGTTGCACCACATATATAGCATATACAAGTGTGTGTGTGTGTGTGTGTGTGTTGGGCACATTTGAGTTGTTAATCCAGTTTGGAATGCTTGCTGTGTCACCTTTGGGGAACACCTGCAGAGATGAAAAGGAGAGAGAGATGGAGAGCTTTCAGATCGGAGGCGAAGACTTCGCGGACTTCTCCGGCGGGAATTTGCTCGACAGTATTGATTTCGATGACCTCTTCGTCGGGATGGAGGACGGAGATGTGTTGCCGGATTTGGAGATGGACCCGGAAATTCTTGCTGAATTCTCATTTAGTGGGGGCGAGGAATCGGAGATGAACCAGTCTGGTTCGGTGGAAAAAATGGATGGTAATTCCGGGAAGGAGGAGGGAAAGGGAGTTTCTTCGGGAGAAGAAATTGTGAGCAAGAGAGAGGAATCTGTGGGGGCAAATCAGTCATCGACGAAGGAAGGTGAGAGAAGAAGGAAATCATCATCTGCACAATCCAAGAATAATTCTCAAGGGAAAAGAAAAGTGAAGGTACATAATTATTTATTATTTAGTAATTAATATGGGGTTCAAGCTAACATGTAATATAGATGCATGGTAATTAGGTTTTATGTGTTACAAAGAAATGAAGCGCATGTACCATAAACAAAAATTGTCCCATATTATAACTCTAAGGCATGTTTGGTTCAGTTTTCTTAAACGAATTCTCAATAACTGGATAAAACTATTTTCAAACGGAGCTTCTTTTTTTTTTTTTCTTTTCTTTCTTCTTCTTCTTCTTCTTTTTTTTTTTTTAAATAAAGAAGAAGAGATTCACTTCACCTCTCTCTCTCATTTATGGATTTTCACATACTTCATGGGTGCACAAAGCTCACGAGAACCATGGATGTTTCAGACTAGTTTGTAAAAGTTATTGAAAGAATTTAGTCAAGGATTGGGATAAGATAAGTCTTTCTTTTCTAGAGAATGTATATATACATATGTATGTATGTATGTATGTATGTATGTATAATTTGTTGAATTGTGTGTAGGTGGATTGGACACCAGAACTACACAGGAGATTTGTGCAAGCAGTGGAGCAGCTAGGTGTGGATAAGGCAGTCCCTTCAAGGATTTTAGAGCTTATGGGAATTGATTGTCTCACTCGCCACAACATTGCTAGCCATCTTCAAGTATGTCCTAGCTCCTGCAAATTCCATATTTACTTTTTTTTTTTTAGTTTTGTACTTAATTGAATTTATTTTCTTAATTTTAAATATAGCGAGCTTTTATTTAGTTCATAGATTTGTTTGGCTTTGAAGAAAATTTTGTCCCACTTCCTTGCTTTTCTCTATGCTTAGTTTATGAAAAAAGAACTAAAGTTTTGTTTCAAAATAATTTTAATTTGGACAGTGTTTACTCCTAGATCTTATGGTATATGTTTTAGAGTTGCATATTTGTTTATCTTTACGCGTTTGTATAAAAAAACACTTTTTTGTTCAATTTCCATGTAAGAAAATGAAAACAAAGTTTTGATTTCATATTTTGTTTCACACACACAATTCACAAATAAGCTGGAGGCAAGAATGAAATTAAAATAAGGAATTCAATCACAAATAAGCTGTTATTAATTAATTTAAGACTTAATGAAAGTTTTGAAAACACTTAATATTTTTTGTTCAATGTTCACTTATTTTGTTGACCTATTAATATGAAAAGAGCTATTTTCTTGGTTGAGTGAAAAAGAGGAATAATAATATTATAATGTTGAGGAACTGTGAATTTTGCAGAAATATCGATCGCATAGGAAACATTTGCTAGCTCGAGAAGCTGAGGCAGCAAGCTGGAGCCAGAGAAGGCAAATGTATGGCGGCACCGCCACTGGAGGAAGCAAAAGAGACATTACCCCTTGGGTTGCACCCACCATGGGCTTCCCTCCCATGTCTCCTTTGCACCATTTTAGACCTTTGCACGTGTGGGGTCATCCGTCGACATGGCCAAAACATCCATTTCCTTCACCACCACCGCCATTGGCACCAGCTACACATCCTCCTGCACCACAACCACCACCATACCCTTCATTTTGGCACTCACACCATCATGTAATCTCTCTCTCTCTATGTGTGTGTATAAGTTTTTCGGCTCAGCTTTCTAAAACAATTTTATATTCTTAATAACTGAAAATCAGAAAACAGTACCACAATTCATTCAATTTAGGATTTTTCAAAATATGTTGTTTAAAAATCAAATATGAAAAATGACTATTTTCATATAGTAGTTTTTATTATTATTTAAAAACTGTGTTATGTTTTTTGAGAACATTTTTCAATTTCTTTATCCCAAGTCTTCGTGACGTCTTATTCCCTCTCTAAATTAGCATATTCTTTTGGTACAGGTTTCGAACTCTCTCACTTCAGGAACACCTTGTTTTCCACCACCACTGGCAACATCAGTGAGTACTACCTATTCCTTACTCTTTTGGAGTCTTTCAAGTCTATGTACCTAACTTAGTTTGGGTCAATGAAAAGCATTTCAATATAATGGCATCATCTCTCTTATAGAATTAGATTTGGCTTATGTGCAGAGATTTCCTTCTCCACCGGTCCCCGGCATCCCACCTCATGCCATGTACAAAGTAGACCCCGGCATTGGTGTCCCGACCAGTCCCCACCCTCCCCTCGACTTTCATCCGGTGAGTTTCCCTCCATTCGGTTCCTTTCATATTTTTGGTACTCCATGAATTAGTATATTAGAATGTAGTACGTACTATCGATTTTAGGACCTGATAATTCATGAAGCACCAGCTCTTTTCTAATTAGGAAAAACTAATAAATAATAAATAATAACAATAATAAGCACAATAATCACAATTCAAAAAACTTTCTCATGCTAGAAAAAACTGATTTCTTGATGATTATTTCTGTTAGCTGGTAAACAAAAAATATATATATATATATGATTTTAATTTTTTTATGGATGTGTTGTGTAATGTACAGTCGAAGGAGAGCATAGATGCAGCTATTGGAGATGTTATGTCAAAGCCATGGCTGCCACTTCCTCTTGGACTAAAACCTCCATCTATGGATGGTGTTTTGGTGGAGCTGCAACGTCAAGGAATTGCCAAGATACCACCAGCTTGTGCTTGACCTTAACTTGGAGGGCCGAGCGAAACCCTAAATTCGACGACATTTCCTGCATTAATTAGATGTTACTCACATCTAATCCGCGAGTTTAATTAACTTTTTTCCTTTTTCTCGATCCTTGTTGATACATGCATTGTTCTTGTTTTCATTTTTGCAAGAACGGTTTGAATTGTTAGCTTAACCATGCATGGGTTGTAATTTTTGTAATATGATCACAAATATTATATATAATACGAGTCTAATATATATAACAATATGCGGAGTAATTCTGTATACTTGTTCAATGTTTTTCGTCTCTTTTGGCAAGGCACTTGTTTGAACATCTTTATTCTGTTTTCAATGGTTTCATATGGGAATTTTCTCAGTCAATTAATCATTTTCAATGGTTTCATATATATATTCACAACCAATTGCTCAAAATTTTTAATCTATCTCCTGGAGGGAAACTTATTATTACAAGTGAGCCTCCAAAGAAAAAAAAAATTTAATTGCATTTTTGGTTCTCATGCAATATATAAAAAAATAAAAATAAAAAAGGAGGAAAAAGAAGAAAGATATATGAAAAAAGCCGTGGACTTATATGGGTGGGTATACAGCAATATCCAAAAGGTTAAGCTTTTGGGTCACATGATCAAACGTGTGACCTGATAAAAGTGGTATCAAAGCCAGAGTGAGCAGTGTCCAGGTACAACGGGTTAGACGTGTTAACCTGTTTAATGACCTATTTATCAAAATTAGACATTATATCCTTAGCATTCCAACAGAACTTTTGAAAAACCCACTCAATCCTAACATACACAATTAATTGAATAGGTTAATCGTATCGACCCGTTTATAATTCAAATTCATTTAAGATAAATTCAAACTTGTTTATGTCATATCAAATTTTGTCATTCTTATTTTTAATTATGAAAGGAAGGGTGTACTTTACAACAAAATGGCATGGCATTTAAGACAAATTCTATTTAAGATTTATTTCTCTTTGACCTGAATCAAATTACAACCCCCATTAACAACCAAAATCAAACTACAACCCCCATTAACAACCACAAAACAACTATAGACAAAATTGACTATGCAGCTGTGCTCGTGGCAAGCTCAATTCCATCAACAAACAATATTGCATATTATTTCTCATTTATTTAATTCATCAATTAGAAAAAAATATTTAATCTTTTTTACACATAAATTTTAATATATATAAAAAAATATTATAACATAACAATTAAATAATAGTCACTATGTCCCAAAATTTTTAAGATGTCAGGAGAGTCTAATTTTTTTATGGCACGACACTGTTAAATATTTTTTTATTGTATTAGTAAGAGTGATGACTTTGAGATCAATGGAGTAACATTTTTTATAAAAACAATAAAAAAAACGGAGAGAGAGAGAGAGATTGAGATAATGATGGCTTAACTATTTTTTTTTAATAGAGGAGAGAGAGAGAGAGTGAGAACAATAAACGCGTGCATGAAGTGCGCGTGGGTGAGGTGTAAGAGGAATGGATATTTGAGCTCACAGTCATAGGTCCCCCATTCATATGGAGACAAGATCTTCTGTAACGTAACTATACGAGGCCACGTATGGACCACAAAGCTCTCTTTATACGTGTCGTTAATCGTCTGAAAAATCCACACACTGATTCGGATTAGTGGGTCCCACTACCAATATTTACATTTACAACAAATTTAAAAGTTGATGTTAATCGTCGTCCACAAGAATTCGTACGGTCAGGTGGTGGGGGATTCCGTTGGGATGATGCTCTACGTCTCCCACCCGGCAAACACTTTATTGTGCGGATTGTATTATTAACGGGTATCATTAATTAACTGATTAGATGTTAGATATTATGGTGATAAGATTTTATTAACACAATTACTGAAAAAACGGGTTCACTACTGTCGCACAGTGCAACGAGATTGTATGTGTATCATTAAATGATTTGATATTAGGGTAAATTACCGACAGATTTCGTCGATTCATATAGATCTTTCTTTTTGTTTGTCAAATTACACTGACTTCTCATGTAATTGGATGACGTCAACTATTATTGTGTAATTATAATTCTGTCCTTATTATACATATGGTATTTTATTTCAAATTTTCAAAGATCAAAATGTTCATATCTAAGTCACATAATTCGCTCAAACTCTGGCGCTCTATCACTCCGCGCATGAATTGGCTTTTTAAGAGCAAATTCGCCAAAAATTCACGCTATCATGTTTTTGAATTCGCGAATTCAATTTACGAATTCGCTGATTTTTTAAGTTCAATTCAACAAATTGTGTAAGGTAAAATTACATATTTTGTTCAAGAATTCGACGACTTTTGACAATAAATTCACGAATTTAGTGTGAATCTTGAGAAATTTCGATTTAAACCCAACTTAAATAGACCAAATAAGGTTAATTATGTCAAAAAGTAATCAATTTAATTTAATTAAGTAAACTCTGTCCTTTATAGGTAAAAATCAAATAATATAACAATATACTTAATATTTAATAATACTTATTTATTAGTAAAGAAAGAAATGAATGAATAACTTTTCATATTTTGATTATGATTTCTTCTGCTATTAAGTGTTGGGTTCGTGATTTTTGAACTTCTTTTACTAGTAATTGACTCTTGATTCACTCTTATAGTCTTATTCTCGTTCCATCATTTCATATTCTCTCTCCTATTTCATATACTTTTCATATGCTTTTGAACATTGCCATTTCAAAGACAATGATTGTCATCTTGAGAGTTTAAAGTAGGTTAAATATATAAAAGACAATGTTTTTTAACATTGTTTTTTCTATTATGCCCTATTCACTGTTATGTTTTTATTTTTATAAAATAGCTTGTTTGATTGTTATATTTGTTAATTTATGTATTTTTATAAAGCAGGTTATATCGGTTGTAATGGACTCATATTTGATTCACTATTTTTATCTTTTTATTTGCATGAAATTTATTTAAAACATATATTTACTATTATAAATTAATATTTTATATATTTATAATGCGGCGCTCTAGCGGCGCTCCCGCTCTAAGATTTTTTGGGGTATGCAGCTCCTGCGCTCCCGCTCCCGCTCTATGTGACTTAAGTCCATATGTATTTTATTATTACTTTTTAATTCATGGAAAAAATAAAAAAAATAAATTACTTTTCACCTACCATTAAATCGCATTAACTGCTTCTCTCCATCTCTTCTCACTTCTCTATATCTTGATACCCGTTAGGGGATGATTTAGGGTTTCTGGTAGTCTACCATCACGACAAGTAAGTATGTGACTAAATGTTCGTGGTTTTTTATCTTCCGCCAAATTCCCTGTATCTTCTGTCGAAAGTTGTTATTATACAACTATACAATATATATATATATCTTCTGGTATTCACCCCTTTTTTTTTTTTCTAGGAATTTGGCAGATAATCAATTTCCTTACCAAAACAAATTAATAGTAAAGTTTTCCAAACAAGACCTAATAAGATTTAACTAAAGACTAAACAAAGAGTTGCAGATCCAAAAAGCATGCTTAAGGTATTTAACAAGGAACGACAACAAACAGTAATAATATAATATTAACGTCGGAGGGTATTGGTGTAATTCCATTTGAGTAAGTGGGGATATAATTGTCAAGAAGGGTAATGAAAAGGGCACTATTGTAACTTTTGATAAAAAAAAAAAAAAAAAAAATGTTTACATCATTGTTGACTGCATTGACCACTAATAGCCATTAACAAAAAGGAACAAAGTGTTACTAAGATACAAACTTCAAGGGAGATCATCGTAATTTGACAAACAAGAGGGGAGGTGTGTGTATGTTGACGAAACTTTAAGGAACAATATAATTTATCCTTGATATTATAGTGATAAGAATCGTTAAAATAAAAAAAAAAAAAAAAATGTATTTGCTATTATTACACCGTATAATGAAAATATATTTATCAAAAGGGACATTTTGGTTGGGCCGAATCCTGTATGCATTCTTGATTAAACAATCATCACATTCTATCAAATATGTAGTATTTATTTTCAAGATGTTAGTAGTACATTGGATATTACAAACATTCTTAAATTGAGAGTGAATTTCAATTTAATTGTGAATATTAGATAGAGAATATAGCTTTAGTTGGGCCACGAGGGACCGTTGAACCCACGTCATCGTGATGTATGGGCCCACCAATAGAGGCTCAGATGACCTGATGAAAGTCAGTCAACGACCATTAGATATATATGTGACTTGTCCACTTGGATAGTTATTTTACAAAAATCAACGGTCCACTATTGAAGAAGGCACTAATTTAGTGGCATTTTCGCACTTCTATATGGGGAATGGCAGCGGGGCAACTTGGTCCCCTTAAGGGTTAAATTACGTTGGTGCCTTTCAAATTTAGACAAATCAAACATAAGTAAATTAATATTAAGTGTTTGTTATTTTGATTTTTTAAAATTCATTCCTACCTAAAAATATATATTATATTGCACTTTATAGGATAGAATAAAATTGTCATTTCATAAAATTTAATCAAACATATCTGCCATAAAGAAAACGTAAGGGGTGTTGTTGAGCGCACGCCTTAAATTTCAAAAAATATTAAAATAATAGACGTTGATCGGTTTAACAGTATGTAATTTGTTCAAATCTCAAAAGAGGTCATTACAATTTACCCCTAGCATACTTGTTCTATCTCTATTTAAAACTTTTTATTAAATGGAGAGGCTGGGCAGGCGGGGTTGGGAGATTTAAGAAAGAGTTTTTGTAATACAATTCCAAATCTAACGAAGTATATAATGAAACAAATTTTAAACCATGATAATAATATCTTTTCTCTTATACAGATAAGAACAATATTCAAATTCTCAATTAGAACTTGAGATTTAATATTATTGTAACAACGTCACAATAATATATAAGCAGATGTCTCGATAGTCCAGTGAGTTAGCACTTTCGATGAATGTTCAGTAATAAGCGTGTTTGGTGACATAATATAATAATAAATAAAAAATCACATTAAATTATTTTTTAATTTATTTGGTGACAAATTTTTTTTTTTTTAATTTTTAACACTTCTATTGCTAGTTTTACAATAATATCCTATAATATGATGTTACCATATTTGATAATAGGAACTTTATTAAGGAATTGGTGTAATTGTCTTTATAAAAAATTAAAAGGACAAAATTGTTTAATGAAAAAGAGTCACCTAAAATATTCCTCTACTCATAATGCAGTTTTAAAGATTCCAAATTATAGTTTAATTCAAGTGCTCTACTGAACTAAATTTAGTAACTATTCAAAACACTTATAATGGTTATCAAACGCATTTAAACGCAATTTTTCAAAATAAAACGTTTTTAAGTAATAGAGAAGCAATCCCAAACATACTCGATTACATTGTGTGCTTAATGCATACCTAATATGCAAAATTATAATTTATCAATATAAACGAAGGAACTTTTCCCCACCCCAAAGCCATTCAACCATCCACATAATTATAATGAACGATGCGGGATGGAGTGGGTATTCGATGAGGCGAGGTGTCTGCGAGTCCAACTTACGAAGATTCAAGTTCTCACATTAGGCGGGAACATGCAAATTGTTTACCCCTCTTTTTAGAACCAAATCTTTTTTTTTTTTTCCTAGTTGGTACTCACACACACTTGTCTCTTTTGAGACTTGAACCCCTGACCTCCCTTTAGGAAATAAGAGTTTGGTACCGCTAAGCCATTGGCCCGTTAGTAGAACCAAATTTTTTGAAATTTAATTATTAGTTTTATAAAAAATAAACAAATTGAAGATTTAAAGTGAAATCACATTTTTAAATTTAAATAAACTTGAATTTTATTAGAAAGACAAAAATCATGTTTTTCTCAATTTGAACATATATAAGGCAAGCACCGATAATGAGGTATTAAAATACCCTTTTAGGTTATTTGTTTGCATGGATTTGGAGCCTTTGAATTGGAATTACTTGAATTGGAGAAAAATAACTCACCAAATTGAACTAAAATTTTCTCTAATTCCACCCATACGAATTCTAATTTCAAAATTTCAATTTTATGTAGCTAACGGAATTGGAATTAGAGAAAAAATTTGTTCAAATTTGTAGGTTACTTTTTTCCAATTTCACCAATTTCAATTCCAATTTCAAGATTCCAAATCCATACAGCCGAACATAGCCTTAATGAGATAATCCATGATATTGTTTAGGGTGCACCATCCACACATATTCTTTTAAAACAATGATTCAATTTGGGTCTACATGTATTGGTTCGATTATAAATACAGCTCGGTTCAGTTATGGATTGAATTTTAGTGGATAAAAAAATTCCATATTGCATATAAAAACATACTTAGCCTTCATATGATTGGTCCATATGTTTATTTACAATAAGATTACACATACGGGATTATAATATACGCCGTATATATATCCTTTACAAAAAAAAAAAATAAAGAATAAAAAAAAAAAAAGATAGCAAGATCAATTTTGCATTATGAGTTCAATATAACATTATTTTTGTATGTAACTAAGGGTGGCAATTCGTGTTCGTGGGTCATAATCGTGTCATGTCGATGTAAGGGTTTTACACTAAATAGGTAAACACAAACCCAACTCATTTAATAATCGTGTCAAGAGCCTCAACACTAACCCAACCCATTTATTAAACAGGTAAACGTGTTAATACGTTTAATTACTTGTTTATCAAAACGAAACATTAATATTTAATCAAATGCTAAATAATAGAAAAAAAATTGTCATCATTAACCCAAATATTCAAAAGAAAAAGAAAAATCATAAGGCATAGACAAGGTTTATATTGAAATAACTTAACTATTCATAGTAATTAGGTTTTGTAGGAAAATAGAATAGAAGAAAAAAAAAATGCTCTAATTTCTGAAATGATACTTTATATTTCTTTTCTTCATATCTTCAACACAATACATAAGACTGTATATATAGCTTTGTGGGTACATGAATTCATTAGATACATGAATACTTTAGATATATATTTATTAAGATCTTTTAGTCTTTCAAAGAATATGAACCTAATATATAGCCTTCGATCTTCCAAAGACAATGAACCTTTCAACACTCAATATTCAGAAATTTCTAGAATTTGGTGTAGCGTCCCAACAATGCCTCCCGTAAACCAAATTTACTTTTGACTCCCAATCTTGCAACATTTCTTTTGAAAAACTGTCCACTAAGAGGCTTTGTGAAAATGTCTGCCATTTGTTCATCTGTTTTGCAATATTTGACATGAATAACTTCTTCATTCACAAGCTCCCTTAAGAAATGATAACGAATACGGATGTGCTTAGTTCTCCTGTGAAGAACTGGATCTTTTGGAACTGAAATGGTTGAACTATTGTCACACAACAATATAGTTGGACTGATTTGCTTGTGCTCGAGACTTTCCAAAATACTTTGCAACCAAATGATTTGACAACTGGCAAGTGAGGCAGCAATATACTCCGCTTCCATCGTAGAAAGAGCCACAATAAGTTGCTTCTTCGAACTCCATGAAATTGCACCGCTTCCAAGATTAAAGACATAGCTGGATGTGCTCTTACTATCATCAATACTTTTTGCCAAGTCACTATCCGTGTAGCCAACAAGTTTAACCGGAACATTTGCTTGATAAAAAATACCATAATCAATGGTTCCTTTCACGTACCTCAAAATTCTTTTTGCAGCCTCCCAATTACTTGAATGTGGTCTCTCCGTAAATCGTCTAACCAAACTTACCGCAAACATTATATCGGTCCTTGTAGCGGTTAAGTACATTAAATTTCCAACCAAACTTCGAAATATGGTAGAATCAACAAGTTTTCCTTCACCATTTTTGCTTAATTTTATTCCGGTGATGCATGGTGTTGAAACGGGATTGTCTTGCTCGATCTTGAATTTTTTTAGAATTTTTCTAGCATAACTTTCTTGAGAAATAAAAATTCCCTCTTTAGATTGATGAACTTCAATGCCCAAAAAATGATGTAGCTCACCCAAGTCCGCTATTTCAAATTCTTTCATCATTGAGACTTTAAAATCATTCAACAATTTCAGATTATTGCCGGTAAAAATTAAGTCATCAACATAAAGACTCACAATCATGAAGCCCCCTTCCAAATCATTTTTTATGTAGAGTGTGTGTTCATAAGGACACTTTTGAAAACCATTTCTCTCAAAATATGAATTAATGCAGCTATACCAAGCTCATGGGGATTGCTTCAAGCCATATAAAGCTTTGTTAAGCTTATACACCTTGTGTTCTTCCCCATTTTTTACAAACCCAAGAGATTGTTCAACATAAATTTCTTCTTCAAGGATCCTATTCAAAAAAGTGGATTTAACATTCATTTGGAACAACTTCCAATCATTTTGGGTAACAAGAGAAATTATCAAACTAAATGGTATCAAGTCGAGAGACTAGAGCAAATACCTCATTATAATCCTCCCCTTCTTTTTGTTTGTAACCTTTTGCAACAAGCCGTGCTTTGTACTTGTTGATGGAGCCATATGGATTCATCTTTGTCTTGAAAACTCATTTCACACCAATGGAATTTTTCTTTGGTGGTAGATTAGCAAACTCCCATGTACCATTCTTTTCAATGGCATTAATTTCCTTTTTGTATGCTTCTTCATAAAAGATTGGATCTTCCCTTGCAAAGAAAGCAAAAAAGACAGGGTTGTCTTGATTCACTTCATTGGTAGATTCATAAAGTTCTTACAAGCTTCTTGTCTTCCTCCTATGAGAAGATGGAGGGCCTTGAGAGGATCCTTCACTTGAGGGGCATGTTGAAGACAACTCACCATTAATTTCTTCAACTTGAAAATCATAAAAAATTGTTGCATTTGAAAAAACACATGTTTTTGAATCAAGAAAAGAATCATTTTCATCAAATTTTACATCTCTACTAATCACAACTTTCTTTGGTTCCAAATTGTATAGCTTATAGGCTTTGGACCTTTCACTATACCCAATAAAAATGCATTTTTCGGCCTTATTATCAAAGCTTATTTCTCATCACATCTGGAATATGTACATAAGCAACACTTCCAAAAATCTTCAAGTGTTGAACACTAGGCTTTCTTCCATACCATGCTTCATGAGGTGTACGATTCTTCAAAATTTTTATGGGAGATCTGTTGATCAAATAAACAGTACAAGAGACTGCTTCCGCCCAAAATTCTGATGCCAATTTTTTTCTTTTTAAGCATGCATCTTGCCATTTCCATGACCGTTCTATTTTTCCTTTCACTCACACCATTTTGTTGTGGTGTGCGTCTAATTGTTAACTCATGTCGTATGCTAATATCTCTATACAACCTCTCAAATTCATTGGAAAGATATTCGCACCCTTGATCACTTCTTAATGTTTTAATTGGAAAATCGGAAAAATTTTCAACTTGGGCATTGAAATCTTTGAAAGCTTGAAATGATTGAGATTTTTCTTTGAGAAGATATACCTAATTTTTTCTAGTGAAGTCATTAATAAATAGGAAAAAATATCTATTACCTCCAAGAGATGGAATCGGCAATGGACCACACAAATCCGCATGAACAAGCTCCAATGGATGCTTGGCACGCCACAAGGATTGTGAAGAAAATGGATCTCTATGTTGGTTTCCAAGCTAGCATGCATTTTTCACAAATTCCATTTATACTTTCAATTTGAGGCAACCCTTCCACCATTTTCTTTGACGCCAACAATTCTAAACTTCCAAAATTTAAGTGTCCAACCCTGTCATGCCACAACTTGGAGTCTCGTTTGTTAACACTAGTGAAACAAGAAATATTAGCAATTTGGAGCTTGAGAGGAAAAAGATTGTTAGCCGCCATCCCAATTTTGGCAACAAGCTGATTGTTTTTTGTCATGATGCATGCATTATCATGAAAATGAATATCATATCCTTTCTGCAAAAGATGACTGGTGCTAAGTAAATTACCTTTCAAGCCGGGCACATAATAAACTTCCGACATTTTCTCAATTTTGCCAGAATTTGTTTTCAATGAAACTTCTCCAATGCCTTGAATTTTGTAAGCTCTGGCATCTCCAATTGTTACTTAGCCATGATCCACCTCAACCAAATTTGAAAACAGATTTTTGTTGCTGGTTATGTTTTTGCTAGCACCACTATCCAAATACCATACATCATCAGTATTATCACCATGGCATGCAATCAACAAAGTTTCATGAGAGTCATTTTTATGGAAATCAGACTTGTTTTCATGCATAAAACCAGTCTCATTTTTTTTAGCTTGTTTGTACCAACATTCATTAATTTTGTGACCGGGTTTATTGCAATGAAAACATTCAACATAGCCTTTTCTTCCTTGGTAAAAACCACGGCCTCTTCTACTTTGTGAAAAATTTGTGTGTTGATTTTTCTCATCTTCCTTAGAAAAATTTTCATTTTTTGAAAAAGCTCTTCCTCTTCCACGAAAATTAGAACCACTTCCTTGGAAATTTCCACTCCTTCCATGGCCTCGACCATGGTTGTAACCACGGCTTCCCGTAATTAAAACTTGAGATTTAAGAGCTTGGTCAAGAGGAGGAGGATGAGGATAATTTCTTTGATTGATCCGAATTTCATGAGCCTTCAAAGTTCCCAATAAATCATCTAGAGAAAGGGAAGAGAGATCTCTAGATTCTTCAATGGCAACTACAATATAATCAAATTTTTTAGGCAAGCTGCGAAGAATTTTTTCAACCACTCTTTGATCTTCTAAAATTTCTCCATTGGAAGCCATTTGATTTACTATGGATGTAACATTTGTAAAATACTTAGAAATGGATGAATTCTCCTTCATATCTAACTTCTCAAATTCTGATCTTAAGGTTTGAAGACGTACCTTTCTTACTTTTTCCTCACCTTTGTATGCCGCTTGTATAATCTCCCAAGCTTGCTTGGATTTGGTGGCTTTTGCAATTCTTTCGTAGATCGGCATTTCAATTGTTTGGTAGATTGTGAAAGTGCCTTGCTATCCTTTTCTCGCTTCTCATTCAAAGCATTCTTTTGTCCTTGAGTTAAATTATCTTCATTTTCGGGTTCATCAAAACCCTCTTCAACAACATTCCATAACTTCATTGATTTGAGCCGCATCTTTACATTGTTGCTCCAATAATCATAATTGTCTCCATTGAAACAAGGAATAAGAGAAACCCAATTGCTTGTATTTGCCATGAGATAATTTTCAAATTTTTTCTGCTACCTTCTTCTTTAAAATTGGCTCTGATATCAATTTGTAGGAAAACAGAATAAAAGAAAAAAAATACTCTAATTTCTGAAATGATACTTTCTATTTCTTTTCTTCATATCTTCAACACAATACATAGGACGGTATATATAACTTTGTGGTTACATAAATTCACTAGATACATGAATACTTTAGATTCTTATTAATTAAGATCTTTTAGTCTTTCAAAGAACATGAACCTAATAAATGGCCTTCAATCTTCCAAAGACAATGAACCTTTAAACACTCAATATTCAGAAATTTCTAAAATTTGGTTTAGTGTTCCAACAGGTTTAAACAAGTAATATATTACATAAGACACATTCATGATTATAATATGTTGAGTTAAATGGGTCATAAACGGGTTACATAGGTTGAATGAACCCCTTAATTCTAACTCGACACGGTTAAGTAAACGGGTTAATCTTGTCGACCTTTTTATAATTCAAACCCGTTATACCAAACCCAAACCCTTTTAACTAGTGTCGTGTCGTAATTTGCCACCCCTATATGTAACACATTTTTTTTATTATTTTTTATTATTTTTTATTTTTATTTTTTTAATGTAAAATTCAAATTAGGTGATCAAATACTAGAATTGTTTAATTAATTTCGAAGTGGCTCCATTTGTTTGAATGTAAAATTTTGTGTTTAGTTGTCGTAAAATATTTACGAAGAAAAAAAATTAAAATTTAAAAAAATTAAATTACTCTTTAATTTTTGACAAATTATTTTACATTTTACGTTGGATGTACTCAAAAATAAAAAAAATTGAATTTTTTTTTTAGGTATTTGGGAGGCTAGCATCACGTCAGCAAAAATGTTTTCAACTTCTTCCTTCAACTAGTTGAGGCTAAAAGTGCAAATCATAGCTATCACAACGGCAATTTGGAATTAACAACTTTAGTTAAGTTTGGTCAACTTACAGACTGATTCAAACAATGCCAAAATTATTTTTGGCTGATGATAAGACAAGGATACAATCTAGTTGTGGCTATGCTTCTTATATTAGAAGTGATAATATAGTAATTATATCATGCCAAAATTGAGTTTTGGAGGCGATCAGTAGTATTGACTTATTGTTTCACATCATAATGCCAAAATTGAGTTTTGGAGGCGATCAGTAGTTAACGTTTCACATCATAATCCTCTCCCCCACCTTGGGACTTGTGAACCACTTCCTAGTGATGCTTTAACTACAGGACCCACCTTCATTATCAATGGCTGTGTTTGTTAATAATGCTGGTGAAAATAATAATAATAATGTTAAATTTCATATAATCATTCAATCAATAATGATAATAATAACAATAATAAAAATAATAATATTATTATGTTAATAAGGGTATGTTTTATTTATCTTTCTTGAGATTTGGCTAGGATTCGGAAGATAAAGTTTTAAGATCTTACTTTTGAATTGTACTTCTAACTTGAATGGTGTGTGTATTGTAAGGCCATACATGTGCTCTAAGAAAAATATGTATATATATATATATATATCATATAAACTTTCTCGAAGTTTTATAATCTCACTTAACTCTTCTGTAATCGCACTTACCTCTCATGTTAAGAACCATATGATCAATTTTGTCCTTCCAATGCTTGAAATGAAAACAAACATTTTATAGATAAAAATTATAAAATAACATATTACAGGGGAAGTAAGTGAGTTTATGAAATATGGAGGGGTTTATATAAAATATTAATAAGGTCCTATTTGGCATGCATTTTGTTTCTGCTATTTTTGTTTTTGGGCTGCTATAGTATCGATTTTGGCAACAAAAGTATATTTGGTACTGCTTTATTTTATTTTACATAATGCTAAACATCTCATGAACAGTGGCTCAAAACTAAAATACCAAAAAGTTACTTTTTCTTATTTTGACAACTGTTTATGTCCCAAAACTATAACAGTAGCACAACAAGGGTCTAAAACAAAACCCCTAAAACATCGTTCTCAAACTTGTTTTTGATTTTTTTTTTTCAAAATACTCTTATAGCAAAAATATTGTTTCTGTTTTACTAAAAAACAAAACGCCTTAAAATATTAATAAACCTAGTAGGAATTAAAGGGAAAATTACCATAATAATAAAAATAATACTCTCTCTATCCCAAAATTTTTGGCTTTCTATCCAATTTGAGACGTCCCAAAATACATGTCTCATAATTCAAAAAATAGATTTATTATCTTTTATAACATTCTCAATTATTTAATATTAAATTAAAGGCTACAATTATTATTATTATTATTATTATTTCCTTAATTAGTACTCATGCACACATGATTTTACTAAGGTTGGAACCTTCCTTTGGAGAGTACAGACTTGATACCGCTAAGCTCTATTGGTGGTGGGTTTGGTGACTTTCAAGTACTCTATTGGTGGTGACTTTCAAAGTACTTGAAAATTTAAAAATAATAATTATAACTTTTAATTAAATATTAAATGGCAATATCAAATTTAATATTTCACAATTCATTTAACGAGTCAATTACAGATTTAAGAATAATTTGATAAGTTTTGTTAGTTCAATAATTTTTAAAAATTTATTATTAATTTTATGCACGATTTTAAAATTAGGGGAAAATTTTATGATTTTAAGTGGTAATAGAAATAAACGAACAAAACAAAACAACATACACTTCAAGAATGCCATCACACGTTATATATACAGTAATTAAAAAGCTTTATCAAGTTGGTGGCATCGTCCCTACAGGCTACACTGTCACATAAGACACCTGGTATCAAATCACCCCTTTATTAGGTTTTGGGGGTTATTGTATGTATGTCTATGTTGCTTTTGGACTGAAAATAAATAGAATATTTTGATGCAATCTTGTGCATTATATTTTTTTAAAAAGGTAATTTATTTATTATTTATTAAAAAATATAAAAATTAATTAAGCAAAATTTTGGCTTGCCTAACTTGCGGGAGGTATTTTCTTACAGTTTTCAAAGAGTTCTAAGTTTTATTTATTTATTATTTGGGCCTATCACTCATGAAAAGGGCCTAAGTTTTTTTCTTTTTATTTGGGCTTATCACTCATTGTAAGGGGCCTATGTTGTTGTTGTTGTTGTTGTTGTTGTTGTTTTTTTGTTTTTTGTTTTTTTTTTTTTTTTTAAACATATCACTAATGGGCTAAAGATTTTGAGGCCCTCTAAATGTTGAGGCCCTAGGCGACCGCCTTGGTCGCCTTGGGCAGGGCTGGCCCTGGTCTCCTTGAGGCTCAGCATTTGTGGACTCAATTCATACCTCACTCGACTTCAGAATGAGTTAGAAGCTAAGAGAAAAACCAGTGAAGCCCCTGATCGGATGAGGAAAGCTAGCCAAAGCCGCTGCTGGTGGGAAGCCCCTATTGACAAGCTCGGATTGCTAGAGCTTGAACAGCTTCTGGACTTCATGGAGGACTTCAGAAATGGTTCGTCGTTTTTTTGCAAAGAATAGTAGTGGATTTGTAGTTCCTATTGAGAAAAAACCTAATGATTTGAGCCATATTGGTTCAGGTAGTACTACTCAAGTGCAAGTGTCGTGTTATTCAAGTGGTTGAATTGTTAATGTCCTAAATTTGGAATTTGTGTTCGACTCTTACACCCCTCCTCTCTAATAACTAATCATTAACGCCTAACATTCTTTCTCTAAAAAGAAGAAAAAAAATACTACTACTCATGGACGCGGGGAGTTTTGGATATGGTGGTCATGGATTTTTCTGAAGTTGTATTGCCCATAATGGGTGGCAGTTTCAAGCTAGTACCTCACTAGAATTTGCTGTCAATTTAATTTTCTATTTTTCAGTTATGGGCGTACATGAATGGTGATGGATTCTCACCTATCTAATGTTCATTGATGCAATAATCAACATGGTATTTATTGTTTTATTCTCAGTTACAATTAAGATTGCTTACATTATTTTTGGACGTCTTACCAAGTGATGCACAACCAATCACCATCAGATATGGATTGATGATCATGATGATATGATTAATTTTTGGATTCTAAATGTGTGATCATTAATTCCATATGAACTTGGGCTATTTTGGTATACAGAAATGAAATAGAATAAGAATGGAATGAAGCTGAGAATGGAATGAAGACATAAATGTAATTTGAAAACGAGATTCAAAAAGTTTGCTTAGGCATACGTTACAAGTCTAGAAGCAAATATACACATTTGACATATAAGGTTACGAATGGCTTTTCATGCTAATCTTCACTAGAATTGAACCAGTGAAAATGGAATGGAAATGCCCATTCCATTTTAGTGTTTAGTTACTAACATCGAATAGTGTAAATATGGAATGATAATTCTCATTGATAAGTTTGGTTAAGCTTATTTAAAAGTTGGAATGGAATTAATTTACGTTGTATCTCCAAATTATCTTTTATCATGAATAAAGAAATTTATTAAAAAAAAAAAAAAAAACAAAAAAATTAACGTCAGAAATAAATTTGGGGCAAGCAAGGCGTTGAAGATTAGGGCAAGGAGGCGTCTCCGGCAGCTGTGGTGAGATAAGGAGTAGTGAGAGAGGAAGACGAATCTGAAATAAGGGCTAGCGTATACAAATACATGCACCTCCATTGAAATTTAAATCTGAAAATTTCTAGACTTTTCGTCCTAAGACATATAACCCAGTTAAATAATACAATTTTGAATTGTTTTGGTGACATATGCGGGCTTCCATCTCTGTATATGCATCGAAAATCAGTAAGCAGA